AAAAAAAAAAAAAAAAAACACACCACAAACCAAACCACAAAACAACAAGCCCTGTATCTAGCTGAAAAGAAAAAATAATTTAAAAATCCAATTGAGATGGTATTTCCAGGACAGAATTACAGCCCTGGCTCTCCATCCTCCCGTCCCCGATCATCTTTTACACGAGAAGTATTGGCAGGCTCCTAGTTATAACTGAATAATGGCCCATCAGTTCTCTCCCTGGATTATATATTAACTCCTGGTTCTCCCGAAACATCTGCCCTCCTCTCCCTCCCCCTCGGACGCTGCTCAGCTCTCCCAGGGAGACCCCACATGCCGCAGCACCCAGCGGCGGAGCTGCACCCACCACGACGGGAGCCATCGAGCTGCTCCCTGTGCGCCGACAGATGTTTCTGAGCAAAACGAAGCCTCGAGGTAGAGGAGATGAAGCCGATTAAGCTTCATTATCCTATTTAATGTAATGATCGCAGAGCCGAGAGGACGTCACGCAGCCGGGAAGCGGAAAGAATAAGGCAGTTAATAGGAAACGTGTACGCACGTGGGCAGGCAGGTACGGCCGAGCTGACGCGCAACCCACGAGGGATTTATTATCTCCCGCCATGGGCGGTTTGCCTTCTCCTCTTCCCTGCCCTTGCCACCTTCCCAGCACCGCCAGCAGCCCGTCTGTGAATTCCTGCTTGCTCAGAGGAGCATTTAAGGGCAGCGAGCTGGAAAAGGCAGGAGCGAGGGAGCTCCTGGCAGCCACAGCTCCGCTGTGCCCGGATCCAACAGCCCACCCAGCACGGGAACACTCGTGGGAGCCCCGACAGCACCACTGGGAGAGGTCGTGGGGATCCGGCAGCTCGAAGACAAAGGCAACACGCGTGCATGTGAAAACCCAGGAGCGAAAGCAGGCGCGGACTGTCTGAAAACCAGAGTCACACACACACACAGAATCATTCAATCACTCAGGTTGGAAAAGCCCCTCGGGATCATCGAGTCCAACCCTCAGCCTGACTTGTCAAAGTTCTCCCCTACCCCACATCCCCCCACAGCTCATCCCAACGGCCCTGAAACCCCCCCAGGGATGGGGACTCCCCCCTCCCCGGGCAGCCTGTTCCACTCTCGGACCACTCTGTCTGGGAAACATTTTCTCCTCCTGCCCAGCCTGACCCTCCCCTGTTGCAGGGCTGGATGCGTCCTCTGGAGAGGATTCCTCCAGGAAGAGAGAAGCCAGAGCAAGAAACCCATCATGGAATCCCAATAAAACATCACACTCTGAACAAAACCCAGCCAAGTCAGCAGAGCTGCAAGACAGATTTGAAGGATGAGAATACCGCTGTTTAATTCCAGCATTCTTCTGCGTTATAGTAGACCCAAAATAGCTACTTGGCAACCATGGACCTGCTGCACTGAGCAGTATTTTTAAGTAAACTCTCCCTCAAAGGCTTCAGGTCTTGGCATTAAAGACCCTTAGTCCCAATTCTTTTTAGTACAGGCAATAGTGTCTCATTCACCACCCATCACCTGCCCCTCTCCATCCAGAAGCCTCCTCAAACACCAGTTGAAAGTCACGTTATTATTTAAAAAGTAGCTGTAAGTTTAAACTAGAGTGAAGGAAGGAGGGAAACTCGTTGCAGTATCACCGGGGCCACAGGGGGAAGAGACAGACGGGCTGTTCATTAGTGGTTTCAGATATTCCAGAAACTATAGCAACGTCCTGCTGCAGACCCAGCTCTGCCACCGCGTCCCCAGCCACCGAACCCAGCGCAGCTGGTAAAGACACACTTTGCCTGAACCCGACGTGCGAGGAGGTGGTGGCCAAAATAAGGAAGAGCCCGTTTTTTAAACGCTCCTGAGGTCTGTTTCCACGATGGTCTCGCTCCCTGAGCACGCCCGAAAGCCCCGCTGGGGTTTGCTGTCCTCCACCAGCCCAGCCCAGCGTCTCCTCCGTAAACCCAGCTAAAGGATGAACAAACACGTTAAAGGCTTCACACGGGGAAACCAATGATAAAGATGTCATAGATTAGATCTGTCTTTTGTAAGGAATTTAATGACTACAGCTGTTGGGCGTCATTAACCAGTTTGTCTTGGAGGTTTAACCCTCCCGCCGGCCCCAACCCTGCCCTGAGCAAACACTGGGGTACCCCGGGAGTCACCCCGCGGCCGGGGGGGGCTGCAGCACCAGCGAAGCCTTGCTCCCTCCCCAGGGAGCAGGGCCGGGGTGATAAGGAAGCATTAGAACCTTTTACTACCTGTTGCTATCCAGCAAAGCAATTATGGAGGAGTGCCAGGCAGAGCGGGCGAGCTCTCTGTGCAAAGAGCAACCTGGTAAAAACCGATCCCTCGTCCTGCCCCCCCACCCCCCCAGCCAGGGGCAGAGAGCCCCACGCTCCCACCAGCATCCCTTCCCCTCCTGACTTTACGTGGGGGAGGAAAAAAAAGACACCAACCCTGAGATTTTAACTGATTTAGAAAGAAGCAAGGCTTGATGGAAGTGAAACGTAACGGTTTAAAAATCCTTATCAGAGCGGCGCTGGCTCCTGAGAGAGAAATCTGGGCTCCAAGTGAAGGGAGAGGCATCCTGAGCCAAATTCCCCACCAGCACAGCCCCGGGGGTGGCTCCGGACTGACCGGCCACTCGCTGAGTTTTCATTTCAATGCATTCAGCTTTAACCTCTGCCTGTGCTCCTCGAGCAGCATTCCTTGGAACTTCCCCACCTCTGGGTACCCTCTCCTCTGCCTAAAGCATCCCCAAAGCCCCATCCCCTGCCCTCCGAGCAGCCCCAGGAGCCAGCACTGCTGTCCCTGCTCAGGGAGCACCAGAGCCCCTCGCCAGCTCTCCTGACCCTGCCCGGGTTCTGCGGGGGAAGGACAAGCAGCATTTTGCATTTCACAGAATCATCTTGGCTGGAAAAGCCCCTGCAGCTCCTCCAGCCCAACCATGACCCTCACCCTGACCCTTCCCAACTCCCCCAGATCCCTCAGCGCTGGCTCAGCCCGACTCTTGAACCCCTCCAGGGATCCCGGGGACTCCCCCCTGCCCTGGGCAGCCCATTCCAACGCCCAACAGCCCCTTCTGCACAGAAATCCTTCCTCAGAGCCAGGCTAAAACTCCCATGGGACAAGCGCGCGGTGGCACATGCCCTCCCACAGCAGGCACACAGCCGTGTCGAGCCAGGGGAGGCAGCAGCTCCTCTCCCATCGGTGTCTGAACTGCATTAAAGGCAAGGTATAATTGTATATTTTACATAAATGTTGTGTCACTCCCCACAAGACCATCGCCCTCGCCACCTTGCATGCGTTGTCACCGCTCCATCCTGCTCTTTGCAATGCAAGAATTTCCCTCCCCCAACACTTCCTCCTCCCCACTCTCCCATTTCAAAACGCAGCACAGAAGAACGCCGGCCGTCAGGAAGAAGCGGGTTTTGTGGTGCAACTGTTTATCCACCCTGTTGGGAAATATCAGCTTCGGGCAGCTGATCAAACACATCCCCAGCCCCATCCAGCACCTCGTAACAAGGGCCATCACCACGATGGCCAACGCAGGGAAGAGACCTCAGGGTACTGAGAACAGGAGGACAAAAAAAAAGCAGAGTTTGACGGCAACCAGCCACCCCACGGCAGCCCCCAGACCCCCACTGCATCCTGCAAAGGGTTTGGGAACCCCAAGAAAAGGCAGGACACGGGCAGGCAGAGCTCACGGAATGGGTCAGGCTTTCAGCCGCCTGACACCGCTGTTATTTCATTTATTTGTTCTCGACTCTAATGCATCCATTTGCACTGGAAGTGGCACAATGTAATATCAAGCCATTTTCTTCGATGCTGAGGATGAGTTTGACTGGACGTGTTTGCTACGAGAGGCTCAGAAAGAAAGGGAGAGGGGCAGGCCGACGCCGTGGGCTCCCCTGGACACTGGGGTAACCAGCCGTACCACTCTTCAAATGGAAAACCTCACACTCCTCACTCATAACCACAGAGAATCCCCCCTTCCACTAAAATAAATTAAAAAAAAATTTAAAAGCCCTTTGGGAATTTTTGGAAATATCTTTACTGACTAAGCCATTCTTGTGTTTCCAGCTGTAAAAATCCAACAGCTTCCAATTTATTTATTTTTTTAATAATACTCTTTGACAGTAGGATGGTTCATTCAATTTTGAAACGCTTAGAGGGTTGGCAGCTCTGCAAATTAAACCCCTGGGCTGAAACAGAAGGTCACACCTGAACTGTCTGCAAAGTGTTGCCAGTTAAAAGAACAAAAGCAGAAGCATGAAGGAAAAAAAAAGAAAGAAATGGGAAAAGAAAAAAAAAAAAAAAAAGGGAAAAAAAAAAAAAAAAAAAAAAAAAAAGAGAGAGCACAGACAGCCTAAAGCTGCATTCAGCACTGGCAGAGCCACTCAGGGCCTTGAGAAAACACAGTTTCATTAAATCTGTGATGGAAACCAATCTGTATCCAGCTTCTGTCACGGCAGAGCCGCAGGAAGAGCGGAACCCCCCAGCCCAGGAACAGCCACTTACCAGCGCCGGGATGAGCAGGTCGGCGAAGTACACGAAAGCTGCTCCCAGAGCAAAGCCCACGGCCACCGGGAAGAAAGCGAAGGCTCCAAAGCTGCCGGACTCCTCGGCCATGTCGATAGCCGGGGCCAGGAGGGACCAGTAGGAAGCGGCCAGCATGACCTGGGAGACAAGAGGGGAGCGGTGAGAACCGTGTGGACGCCGACACCACGAGGATCCGGCGCCTCTGCCAGCAGCCCACCCTCCTTCCAAGGAGACTCCAAGGAGCTGCGGGGCCGTCGCAACCCAGCAGAGCCATCAGAAACCACTTCCCGGCGGGACACAGCACTGGAGGATGCAGGAGTGAGGTTCTTCCCCATTTTCACCAAGAGCATTTTTCTTGGCTCAAAGGCCCAAGGCAGCAAACGAGCAACACGAGCTCATTAGGGCGATTTTCGGTGGGATTAGCACAGCCACCACAGCCCTTCAAATGGGAACAGCAGCAGAGCAGGGGCAGGGAAACCGCCCTCTCCTCGGGTGTTCTGCAGCGACAGGGGTGAGTCCGTGGCTCTGCCGGCCACCCCAGCCCAGCCAAAACTGGGGTCAACCCAATCCTTCCTGCACCCAGCTCTGGGCTTCTCCACAGAGTGGGCAGGGGAGGATGGACACACAGCCCTGATCTCATGCAGGAAAAAAAAAAAAAATAAAAAAAGTTGGATAATGCCTGGAGCAAAAGAGTCATCTCCAAGCTAGCTGAGGGCACCCACAGCTTTGCTACGCAGATTTAAGCCTAGCTGCCAAGGTCCCTACCTTGCTCCCCCAGACCAAAACAACGGCAGCACGAGGGCTTTGCAAATCCCCTGCTTCTGCTCAGAGCAACACTTGGGCTGGGCCTGCCCCAGCGCCCGAGGAGAGGGCCCAGGCTGGGAGGGGACAAGTTCCCATCCCGAACACTGAGCAACGCTGCCCAAGTCCTACTGCGGTGTTTGACCAACGCACCAGGACAATAAACCTTTCCAGTAGCAGACTGTTTTTTTGCTTGCTTGCTGCTTAGCAGGGAAGGAGAAGGAACAGTGACACAAAAGACCAGAGAAAAACAGAATCTGAGACTTGTGGGGATCTCCGAGCCCAAGAGGTTGCTCAGGGTGTTACCCAGTGTGGAGAACAAAAAGCCAAGGCAGGCACCAGTTTCACAGCCTTACAGTAAAGAACATAATATTAACATGCATTTTATCACCTTATCCCTTCCTCTCTGCTGCCTGACGTACTAGGCTGGGTTAATTAAAAAGTCATCAGCCCAGCGCAACGCCCTCGGCAGCCTTGGCCCCGGTTTCCCTCCCTGCAGCCGTTCAGCTCCGCGGGAGCTCAGCTGTGACCAGCTCTGGGCACGGGTCCCACCACACACCGGGAGGAAGCAAGTCAGCGAGACAAGCACAGATGGGCTTAAAAATCACACCGAGATCTGTGTTCGGCTTCGGGAAACCGTCTGCGCCAGCAAGGGCGGAGAAGCGGCGGCACCCGCTGCCCTGCCACGGCCTCGGGGTGGACGGGGCGACGCTCGGCGCTGCCCACGAGCGGGGAAGCGCAGCAAAGGGGAGGAGAAAGGGGGGCGGGATGGGGATCCAGCGGGAACAGGCGAAGCGAGCCCACAGACAGGAGCAAGAGGGATGCTGTGAAGAAGGGTGACCCCCACCTCTCCGTCCAGCCACCCCCCCACGGAGCCCCGCTGCGGGGTGCTCAGAGGAGATGCTGCTCAGCTCGCTCTGTATTCGCCGGAAGAGAAGTGCGTAACAAACTATTACATTTGAAATCACTTTTAACAAAGGAATGAGATGCCTATTGCTGTAGACACCAGTCCCTGAGGGATTGTGTAAATCTCAGCTCGCTATGAGTAAGAAGAAAGCAGGCTGTCATGTCAGGCTTAACCACGGCTGTCAAACTTCATATTTCAAATGCCACCTCCTTTAAAAAACAACCACACACCCCAACATGGAAACACAAGCAACAGGGAAAGGCTTTGCAGAATTATATTGTCATCTTATGTTAAGATATCATTTCCCCATGGAAAACAGAGGCCTGACACTGCTCAGCCTCCAGATCCCGTCACCACCGAAGGCAGCAGCGGAGCTCCCACCAGCTTCGCTGCACACGGGCTCCGGGGGAAGATGATGACGGAGCCTGAAGCCACCCCAGCTCCACCACTGAAGGAGCAAACTGCTGGGCTGCACCAGCCACCTTCACTCGCTTGGGAAGGAAAAGCCACTTATTCCTACGCCCTTTTACGCAAAGAAACCCCTTGACCCCACTTAGTGGGGGAGATGGAAGTCATCGCCCTGCAGCAGAGGTGACAACGTCCCCGTGATTCCCCTCAGCCCATCTCTAAGCTCAGGCACAGGTTTAGGGACGTGGGTTTGCCTGGGAGCAGCCTCGCTCAAGGGTGCTCTTGCCCACCCTGTTCAGCATCTGTGCTGGCACTGACCCTCTGGTTCAGCAGCATCCCTCATCAGATGATGCTCGTGAACTAACAAAAGGGTGAGGATTTCTGCCAGCGACCTGATTTAAGGAACAAAAATCACATCTATTTATTAAAAATCTCTGTAATTGTCCAGCCAGTGACAAACCCCACCAATGCCACTGAGCAAGCTGGTGTCAAAGGCAGGAATAAAAGAGAAAAAGCTTGCCTGAGCTCTCCTCAGGTCAGTAAAACATGAAGCTACTTCAGGAGCGAGGACAATTTTCCACACAAAGTCTTGCCCTCACACCAGCCCTGCTCTGCTCAACCAAGACGGAGACCAGGGGACCTGCAGCACATCGGCTCGCTGGCACCAGGACACGCACTCGCTGCCAAACTGGATCTGGAGATTTTTGCAAAGAGACTTCATGCTCCAGAGCCAAGATGTAACACCACCACAAATCCGCCAGCTCTTGGGAAAACAAGCTGCAGTCGATGGGGGAGGAGGAAGCACGCAGAAGGCAGCTGCGTATCTAAAGCATCCCCGGGTTGCGGGGAGCCCAAACCTTTCCCTGGGATACGTCAGCGTGACCGGAGACAAAACCCAGGCTCAAAACCAGACTGCCTCGTGCCACGGACAACGACTGAATCCAGGTCTGCATCCTCCCGCTGATGGGGAGCCCTCAAAACACACCATAACCACTCCGTGCCCCACCACCGCTCCCAGGGGTCGAGGGGCCTGACCCCCAGGCACCAGGTTCCCCTTCCAGGCAGGTACCCGATGTGGGTGCCCAGTCTGAGCTCTCCCAAACGCTGCAGTGCCAACACTCCCCCCAGCCAGACCACAGAGCCAGCACCGCCCCAGCTCTGCCCACGCAGCTCCAGAGCCGCGCACGGTTGGGTTTTTTTTCCTGCAAATACAGAATAAACAGGGCAATGATCTTTCTGCCCAACCATAGCTGGTCCTGCTGCAGCCCAGGGTGAGGCAGAGAGCCCCTGTACATCCGAGTCCAGTATCATTAAAATTAAAACCCTTATCTCGTCTGCTACAAGCGTCAACGACTCATCGTGCTCCCACGAGATGGTCGAGATGAGCACAGCAGCTTCAAGGGAAACATCCCATTAACGGCGTGTGGATCAGGAAACTCAAACTGCTTACAAGCAAAGGAGATCCCCATGGCAGGACGGGAAAGCAAAGCAGAAGGTGAGAGACTGGCAGGACACTTTCCCTGCCAAACTTTTTAGCTTGACTTCATTAAGGCTCCAACAACAAGAACCGGCCTTGGTAGACCCGTGTAAATTACTGATGCTTTTTTAAGCAGCACTGAAAGGGAATATTCAACACCAAACGTGCCCGGTGCAGTTTAAAGAGTGTGTCTCTGTGATTTTATGCTTTACCTGGGACAGAAGAACTCAAACCACGACCCAGTAAGAGGAAGAGCCACGCGAGGCTGCAGGGAAGGGTGACTGCAAGCGTTTATGTAGCATTTATGATGTCTGAGCACAGCCCCTCCAAGATAACACCCAGATAACAGAGAATATCTTCAAAAAAAAAGATCTTATTTAAGAATATCAAGATTTAAGAGAAAAGCCAGAATTCCACATCAGATGCCCAAGCAAGCGAAGCCTTGTCTCCATAGAAACACATCACCTCAGAGGCTTTTGCATACAAAACCCTCTATTATCCACAATTTCCAGAAAGGGAACTGAGGCAGAGAGAAGCTGAACGCCCAGAGAGCCGAGCAGAGGTACCGGGCTGGAAGGAGCTGAGCTCCTCAGGGCTGTAGCAACCAGCCGGCCCCAGATGACACTTGTGCCATCAGACACGGTCAGCCTGAGCTGAGACAAAACGGGGTTTGGCTTTGCGGCCGGGACGCTCCCAGCACACGCAGGCAGCTCTCCCAGCATGTCCCAGCTCGGCGTACACCCGAGCTTCCACCAGCTCCCCCAGGTCAGACAGTGCATCTGCAGTGAGGGCAGCACCGAGCTGAGGATTTCTGGATCCCAAACTATCACTCTGCATCCTGGACCATCCTCCTCAAGGTCGTCTGAACATCCCTGTCCCACGTCCTCCTCCTCATTCAGCAGGAGAGAAGCTTTTAGCTAATTTTGGTTTCATTTTGCTTTACAAGCTCCCAGAAGACAAGCAGGCAAATCATTACCCACAGGAGAGAACCACTGGTTTAACAGAAAATTTGCTCTTGGAGGGCATCACACACCTCCCTGGAAGCTGGATGACTGTCAGGAATCCTGAGCTAAGCACCAAAAGAGCAAGGTCAGAAGCAATACCTGTCTCTGTCAGTGCAGGGAGAGGAGGTCTGCTGGCTCTGACAGAGCACAGGGGAAGTTTAATTAAACCCAGCAGCCCGGATTTCAGAGCAGAGATAAAGAGGAAGTTAAGTTCTGCTTCTCTCTACCCAGTACTCGGAGAAAGAGCCCGTACGTATCTGCAAGAGATCGACATCAAAGACACGACGTTTTAAACAGAAATCCCTCGTGGCAAGGGAAGTAGTCCATGATCAGAGCAATGTCGCTGCCCGAAGAAACACTTCTTCCAGGCAGGAAGAGAGAAAACCGTACAAATAGATTTTAAAGCTGGCTGCTCCACATCCCGCTATTTCCCCTACACCAAGCCAGCCTGCCAAAACACAGAGAGTCCAGGCTGCTCCCGAGATTCCCCCCAGCACCGGTTTTGCAGCACAAGGCTGGATGAGGCAGGAACAGCCCCTCGTCCCAGCCAGCCAGGAGGATTTCGCAGCCCGACGGGGTTCCTGCTCCCACCCCAGCACACCGGCAGCCTCAGGCGTGCAGCCTCCTCAGCTCCAGCATCACGTCCTGTCCAAAGGCCTGTCCTGAACGGCCACAGCAGGAGGTGGTTTCTCCTCCAGCTTCCCCGTGGACTCTTTGCAAAGCCACCAAGCACACACCTCACCAGCACCTGCCCTGCCCGCGGAGGGAGGAAAACACTTCACTATTAAATCCTTTTGGGATGGGATAGACACAACCCATCACACCGCTGGTCAAGCAACTGCAGCTGCTGCCCAGCTGGGAAAAGAAAAACTCTGAAAAAAACCTCAAGGGGATCCTGTTGCCTGGGGATAACATCGAGCAAACTCCCTCTCCACCCCAGGGCAGCTGCACTGGGGAAGCATCAAGGTGCAAGGTCGAGCACAGCCCTCACAGGGGGATACACCAGCCCCTCATCAGACACAAGGCAAAGAGCTACGGGCACACCTGGAGCAAACTGAGGCGAAAGGAGGATAAAAGCTCCAACCTCCAGTGCTTCTGCCACCCAAACACTCAACCGCTGAGTGAGCATCTGCTCCCAGTGAGCCCATTAGTCCCAGAAGCAACCGTGGCACAATCCCCTGTGGATCTCTGGCACCTTCCCCCAAAAGAGCCGGTCGTGGCACTGGGTGACGCAGGCAGCTCACCCCAACCAGCACCTCAGGCCCGCAAACGCAACCCAAAAACCTTCACAAACTGCAGCTCGTGGGTGGTTCATGTGGCAGCACCTTCTGCCAGCAGGACCTGCCACCACGGGCTTCCTCCATGACATTCCCCTCCAAACACTGCAGCAATCCCAGAAAAAAAACAAAACTCCTCTTTCCTGCTCCGAGCACAGCAAATTGAAAGAAGCTGGAAGAAAAAAGCAAACATTTGCAGGACTTCTGCTTCACCAGCCGAGCCACACCTCTGCCACACAGGGATGACTCAGGGCTCCTGGCAGGGCGAGGTGGTGGCCACGGCATGGACGGCACCGCACCGGGACGGCCCCAGAGCCAGCCCCGGGCCGGGGCAAACGCCCCGCTGCGCCATGCTGGGGCTGGCTGCTCTGCGAGACAGAGATCCCATGGCGAGGGGACAGCCCAGCCCACAGTGTCCCCAGCAGCATCTCCCCGACGCCACAGAAGTGGCTCCAAGTTGGCTTGTAGGGACGAGGGTGTGTCTTCCAGAGAAAAACAGCTTAGAAATCAAACCACAGAGGAAGAGCTCCAGAACGAGCAATTCCTAATGCAAACGCTTATAAAGCGGCCCAAGAACCTGCTACAACCGACAAGTTGAGTTACTGACAGCGTTAGCAGGCTGCAGGCACGTTGCAGGAAAGCTTGTTCGGGAGCAAACCCAGCCCTGTAGGGGTTCCTGTCACCCACCGCGGCAGGTTCGCGCTCGGTTGCAGCTGGGTTTGCTTCAGGCACTGGGAAGAGCAGAAAACCCGCGATCTCCAGAGCTGCAAACACTCAAATCGCACCTTAGTTAGTGGCGCTGCAACATCTGGGGGTGCCCAGGGAGGAAGGAGCCCCCGCTCCACGCATGGCCCCAGCACGAGCGGCGTCGCTGCGTGCTGCAGGACAGATCGCCCGCGGCGCCGGGCTCGGGGTTCACCCCAAATCCTGGCAGTGTCACCCACGCTCCAGGTGCCGGCAACACGGCCAGGACAGAGCGAGCGGGAGCTGGCAGAGCCCTGTGCGCCCACCCCATGCCCAGGGAAGAGGCACCTTCCACCCAGAGCACATCCCCCGGGTCAGGCACGCTCCAGCTCTCGAAGGAAAACAAACGGGATTTAACAAGCCCAAATGAGCCTCCAGCCATCACCCAGGGAGCAGGGGGTCTAAATTCACAAGCCCCAACACAAGTTCAAGCCAGGCAGTGTCACCTCTTCCTTTAAAAAAGATGCAGTAAGCCCCACATTTAGCGAGCACCCTTGATGTAGAGCTGCAGCATCTTCCTTCTCTCTTCTCCCAAGGGCTTAAAGCACCTCACCGGAGAGCGAGAAGGGCAGAGCAAGCCACGAGCCTCCAGCACAAAGGCCCTCCTGCCCACCTTCACCACACCAGTGCTCCAGGAACGATCCAGAAGCCCAAGGAAAGGAGAAGAGTTCAACTCAAGAGAGGCAAACCCAGCGTGGGCAGCTCGACGTCTTCGTGACCCTCCTTGTGCCACCTTCCCCCTCACCAACGAGGAACCGCCAGGACAGGAGGTGACCAGCACCAGCCACGCTCCTCCCCGCCCCACCCGCCCCTCAGGCAGTTACCCAAGAAACACTAACACGAGTGGGCAACCAAACAAAGAGTGGAGGGGCATCAGAGGTGTCGGCAGGTGAACCCAGGCAGAGACGAGGAGTAAAACGATGCTGTACTTACCCCTGCAGCGAAGCCTAAGCTCCCATCCAGGATCCGCCTCTGCAAATAAAACAAAACACAAACCAAAGCCATTTATTCCCAGCAGAAGCAGCCGAGTGCGACCACGGCACGAACCATGCAGAGCTGCACCGCTGCCGCACTCACCTAACTTTCTTTTCGTTTCTGCAACCCAAGTGATTTCTGTGCTTTGAGGCAAAAGTCACCCTTCTCACACAGAGGAGCCACGATCCTGGGGTGACGGCTCCCCACCGAGCCTCCAGCGCATCCTGGCTCCCTCAGCCCACCCACACTGTCCGGGCTGGCCCAGCCAGCACCCAACACCAAAGGATGCGGGAAGGTAAATCAGAAATTCTCCTGCCAATCAGTGCACACTGCCCTGAGTTTCTCCCACTTGAAGATTTAATTCCTCTAATAACAGGTTGCTGTAAACAAAGCCATTACTCTTTCCAGTGACCCAGCACGGATTCTGCCCGCTTCACTCCCGGTGCAGTTTTCATTCTTTAGCACATCGCTCTCCCCCAGGAAGAAAAACCACCGTGCTAGTGCAAAGGGAATCTCACTTTGCCTCAAACTCCTGAATAAATCATCACAAGAGAGAGGCATAAATAATAAATCCATCCGGGCAATTTTGAACACAACAGCAAGGAAGGCCTCTAATTTTGAAATACAAGGTGACTTAAAGATCAGCGCTCTGCTTGTTCTGAGCACAGGCTGACCCGAATCCTGCTCTGGAGACGTGGCAGCAAAACCAGGTTACAGCAGGAGAACCTGCTGTTCCCAACACAAAGCCCTGCCTGCGGCTCTGCCCCATCTCCCCAACACCATGAGCTGCACTACAGCACATACCACAGCCTGGGGACAGGAATTTCATTTCCTTCTATTCTTTTCTGTTGACACACAGAAGAAAAATGAGCTGGACTTTTTTTCTTCCCCTGCCCTGGGACCTCCCAAGCCCAATATCAAGTCCTGGGATCTGGCAGCCAAACCCACCCACGAGCGCAGCCCTTCATCCCAGACCCCGGTCCGGTTCCCGGGGATGGAGGACACGACCCCAGCACCCACCTGCCCGCTGGAAAACACGAACACCAGCGCCGAGCCAGCCGCCGTCAGCCCCCACGTGAGGAAGGTTCCCAGCACCGACTGGATCACCGGCCCGTGCCCGGGGATCATGCTGACCTAGGAGAGATGAGGCACGTCAGAAGGAACACCTCGTGTTTAAAGATGGAGAATAACACCCAGATTCCTCCCTGGTTAACAGGGGAGCACCCCAACTCCCTCCTCACCAAAGGGAACAGAGGGAGCTTAAGCATCCTCCTGGCAACACCTCTCTAAGCTTCTCTCTTCCCCTTAAGTAAGGCTTTGCAATTTAATCCACGCTCAAGGGAGCAGGAGGGACCAAGGAGGGATGACAAGGAGGAATGAGAAGCACCACATCCCAGCTGGCGCACAGCCCCACGCTGGTTTTGGGCTCGAGCCAGCACCAGGCCAGAGCAGCTCTGGAAAAACAGAAAGAAACGGTGCTCAAACCCCACCGGGTGAGGGGCCACTTCGTCCCAGGTCCCCGGGTGGCCCCCAGGCACGTGCATCACGTCCCACTCCTTGGTGACACTTATTTGGGCCAAACCCCAATTTTACTGGCGCTGAAGGCGAACGCCCTCGCAGCACCCGGGACCAAGTGAAAGCAAGTGAAAAGAGGAAGGAGTCTTGGGGATGGGCCACCAAAACACGGCCGTGGGCTGTGCCCGAGGGGTGGCCAGGGGCTGGCGGGGGTTATCTGAGCGCACCCCGGTGAGGCCCTGGGAGCAGCACTGCTCCGAAAATACACACGTGTATATAAATACAGGCATATAACTATACAAAAATACATATATGCCTACACAATTATATGCAAATATCTCAAAATACACATATATTTATACTTTTATACATAAATATATAAGAAATACACACACTATGGCCTTCTTACCCCCAACCCCCCAGGGCTGCTGCCAAACCCTGTGGGGTGGGTGTTGGGGTCAGACCACCCCCACGACCTCCCGGCTCCGGGGAGAGGGACACCCTCTCTCCTCCAGCACGCACCCCCCAGCCCCCCATGCTCCCCCAGTCCCCAAGGTGAGGGGGACCCCAACACCCCACCGTGCCCGCCCACCCCC